TGGGGGGCTGGAGGGGGGACGGCTGGCAAGGTGGGGGACTGGGAAGTTGTCGCGGAGTGTGGGGGGACTCAGGGCCCTGCACCCCCGGCTTCCTGCGATTCACCATGACTCTCAGCCAGCCAGTAAAGCAGAAGGTTTATTTAGAGGACGGGAATACAGTCCAAGACAGGTCTTGCAGGCACAGACAACAGGACCCCCTCAGTTAGGTCCATCTTGGGGTCCCCGGGCCCCCTAGCCCCCCTGGGAGGTCAGAGCCCTGTCTCCCTCCCAGCCATGGTCACTAGCCAGCTTCCAACTCTGCCTTCAGCGACCCCTCCCACAGCCTTTGTTCAGTTTCCCGGGCAAAGGTGTCACCTGGCCCCAGCCCCCTCCTGGGTTCTCATGTTACATGCTCAGGTATTCTCCTTGGTCAGTCTCCCATCCCCCAATGCAGACCATCCTAGCCACACTCCCCTGTCAGCATTCACAGACCCCAGTAAGAACAGTCCCAGTTCGTCACATCTCCCCCCTTCGAGACCGAACTGAGCGGGGTCACTTCAGCCAGTGACCCGGGGAAGTTCGAACCTACCCCCGTTCCCATGGATGCCCCAGCATCCCTCCCATTCCTTGGTGAGAATTACACCAGGCCCCTCCAGTTTCACGCCCCCCCTTAGGTCGGGGGTGCTCGAGGGCATTCGCAGTTCGCATGTGGGAAGGGTTATGCGGCCTGTGCCCTTTTCCCACCCCAGTACCCCTGGGGTGCCAACTGGGCTGGGGTCTTCTCCCAGCGCTCCAGTCTGGAGGTCTGTGCTTCGGGCTCTCTTGGTTCAGAGCCCCCCTTTTAACCCTGGCCGCCCTCTGGAAAGGCTCCTCTATGCTGGGCAAGGGTCCTAAAGCCGTTTTCCCCTTGTCCCGGGCCTTCTTCCCCCTCTGACAGGGGTCACAGGATCGGCAGTACTGCTGGACAGTAACAAAGACCCCAGGCCAGTAAAAGCTCCGTAGCAGCCTCTGCTGGGTATGCCAGGTTCCCTGGTGCCCTGGGAGGGGGGTGTC